AAGACTTGAAGTCAGGGCAACACAAGGTGGGCAATCACTGGCAGAAGCATTGTGGCGTCTACTAGTAAATCTGACGTCGGTCAGCTGCTTGGGGAATAGCATCCTCATCTTTTGTAGTCTTGGAGATGGTTAAATTAGTTTTGTGTACAGGAATGGTTCTTAGAGAAATGATTATCGGTGCCATTAGTGTAAGTGTTACATGTGGCCGTGCGTGGGCTGACACCACCCACTTAGATGTTTCTGATTTGTGTACACGTGTAGTGTAATGGTAGGAGTTGTGAAGCTCCAGCTGGCGTGGTTGTGGCGGGTGTGGGGGCTGCTACGGAAGTAGTTGTGAGTACCAGCAGTGATAGTAGTTCAAGTACCTAGGTAACTCCCTAGTGGGTAACTCGGCAATATAGCAGCAGCAGCAGTAGTATTAGTAGTAGTATTAGTATTAGTATTAGTAGTAGTAGTAGTAGTAGTAGTAGTAGTAGTAGTAGTAGTAGTAGTAGTAGTAGTAGCAGGTGAAGGTGAAGTGAAATTGGGTTTAACGTCGTGCTTGAGAATATTTCGCTCATATGACGACGTGCATGCGTGTGTATGTGTGTGTGCGGCTGCTTGTACTAGCCGAGACTGAAGCTGGTTTTATAGTGCTAGCCCACTGAGATACCATGCCGCAGGACCGCCTCCGTCGTGTAGTGGGTAGAGCGTCCGCCCGGAGAGCGGAAGGTCGCGGGTTCGATCCCCGACCGCGTCATACCAAAATACGTTAAAATATGGTACTTGTTGGTCCCTGCCTGGCGCTCGGCATTAATGGGTACAACAAGGACTGGTCGGCTCGGAGTCAGTATAATGTGTCTGAGTGGGGTATCCATGCTTCACTGCGGCATGGTATCTCAGTGGGCTAGCACTATAAAACCAGCTTCAGTCTGGGCTAGTACAAGCAGCCGCACATGCACACACACACGCGCATGCACGTCGTCATATGAGCGAAATATTCTCAAGCACGATGTTAAATCCAATTTCACCTCACCTCACCTCACCTCACCATGCCGCAGTGAAGCATGAATACCCCACTCAGACACATTATACTGACTCCGAGCCGACCAGTCCTTGTTGTACCCATTAATGCCGAGCACCAGGCAGGGACCAACAAGTACCATATTTTAACGTCTTTTGGTATGACGCGGCCGGGGATCGAACCCGCGACCTTCCGCTCTCCGGGCGGACGCTCTAACCACTACACCACGGAGGCGGTCAGTAGTAGTAGCAGCAGTAGTAGTGGTTGTAGTAGTCTGTCTCAAAGTCCCTGAACCACATTATTTTCCATTCCGCCCAGTCCATCCTTAATACTTAAGCTCTAAACGAAGCAAGTCTAGATATCCTCTAGTTCAGGTTCTGAATTTCCTAACTCACTGGGGTTCCTATTCAATTTATAAAATATTTGTTTCTTGTATATATTCAGAGGCTAAGCAAGTCTAAAGTTGTAGTGACAGTAGTAGTAGTAGTAGTTGTTGTTGTTGTTGTTGTTGTTGTAGCAGTAGCTACAGTGGTAGTAGTAGTAAGATAGAGAAGTAACTGCAGCAAGTAGCTGTAGTGACCAGTCGTCATATCTGTCGTACATATCGTGAAACGTAGCTGTAGTTACAGTTGTAGTGGGAGACTTGGAGTCGTATAAACGTTAAATTATCAATAAGATACTAAAATCGTTGGTAACCATGCCAACAGCCTGTACTATTTCCCTAGACAGGTTCAACCAGTTAGGTTTATTAACGGTATATGTAAAAAAGAAAGTTCGTAAAATCCGCTCGCCATTACTCTTGGGCATTATCCACATTTTATGGACTGAGCAGAATTGTGCGTCATCCATGTTTTGTATCGATTTAAATGATGAAGTTCGGCCCGGTTGAGCAACGATGCAACAATATTTACGGCACTTATTATCCTATATATGCCCTTTGGTGTTTCATTGCTATTTGACAACAAAATAAACAACTTCAAACAACCGTCGGTTTTTCTTGTGCGCTTTTTGTAGCATTAATTATATTCTTGCCCAAAGTTATAAATGAATTTTTTTTTTTTGCAAGCTGTTAAATCTAGCTCTTTGCGCAATGTCATTCCGCTCTGTCGGAAATTCCCAAAATAATTCCTTATTCCGCTAGACATTCCTGAAACCCTTACCCCACCTGGGGCTATCACTGGGCGTACAATACCATCCCCACGGCAGGGAAGATGAACCGTTTCGTAAACTTCCCCTCATGGTAATATTAATAGACACGTATTTACGGAACAGCAGGCGAATCTGACGGTATCGTCAGAGTAAATGACTCCCGATAGTGCTGAGCACATAGTAGTCCCTTGGCTGCAGTTAGATACATGTTCGTGATACAAGGGTCATCTCTTGTCCAAACACGGCACGGGACGCCCAGTCGTCTAAGTTGACACAATTCGCTATGCAGAGTTGCCTCCCTTAGGTTTGCGAGTAAACTTTGATAGTGGGTTTGAATCCCAGGATATGTTTCTAGGTTTGTCGACGCCATACCATTGCTGAAGTGGTACACGTCAAAGACCTGCATTATTTAAAGAGACACGCCGTGATGTAACTGAAACACTGTTTAAAGTGCCATTAGACATTAGACTCGCTCACGGTCAATCTCCCACGAGGTACCCGTGAGCTGTAGTGCGTATCGGGAACACAGGTATTGACATTAAACGTAAACTGGGACATTTTCTCAAATCTTGAAATATTAATAAGACATAGGCAGAGTGAAGTGTTTTCTAGATCAAATTACTGCGTGGAAATCCAAGGCTGAATACTCTTACATTATCTCATGCTGAAATATATCCGTTACATTGGGGTTGTTATAATATAAGCTTAAGGTGGTCTAGTCGGCGGAGCGTCTGCCCTGAGAGAAGCATGCCGGTGGTTCGATTCCCTTTGACGTCAAAATATGGTACTTGTTGTTACTTAGCCTGGCGCCCGTCATTCAGGAGATACAGATGGATTTGGTCAGCTCGCAGTCAGTATGTTGTGGAGTCAGTATGCGTATGTGATACTCGTGAAGATCCGGGTTAGAATTGGTCTTCAGTAACCCATGCTTGTCGTAAGAGCCGACGGACAGGATCGGGTGGTTCAGGCTCGCTGACTTGGTTGACACATGTCATTGTATACCAATTGCGTAGATCGATGCTTATACTGCTGATCACTGGATTTTCGGGTCCAGACTCGATTATTTTCAGACCGCCGCCATATAGCTGGAATACTGCCGAGTGCGGCGTTAAACAACCAACCAACCAACCCTCGAGGTCCTATTTTTTAATATCAGCTTTTCCTAGATGCCAGCTGTAACTCTGTGTCCAGGGTATGAATATATGTAACATGAAGCCTCCACCCAGAACTGAACTCAAACTCTAAACTGACCTCGTATGCCTCCCCTGTCCACTTATATATTCAGGATGGATGATGATGAATATTTTTAGAATTCACGTTCACTTTCCGACATAATGCGTATTTCGCACACTGATTATTCAGGGTTGGTCATTGTTGGTCCTTTGTCTCGAGACACCCTGCATCTGGTCAATGATTTGTCATTATCATATTCCTAATTTCTGTAACTCCACGTGTCTTTCCTCTACAGGACATTAATCTCACCTTGGGATATAATACTCACGGCTGAACTTAGTGGTTCTATCAACCAGGATACAATTTGGCAGATGTCAGGTTATAACTCTTGACGGCGAGTGTCCAGTTGGTCGAGGATGACTGTTAACACCCCTATCCAGTACCACTTTTAGTGGCGGCAGGAATCTGCCGGATTAACGGGGGCTTATTTCGCCTCGGTCCCATCTACAGCTACTCTAAGAAGACAAATGTTTCCCACTGACCTTGACCAGTGCATGTCGTAAATTAACAGTGAGGGGCGGGTGGCCGCTTCAGATGTTTCTACCCTGGATAGTTGCTAAAATAATGATGTATGTATATAGGTATATAACTTATTAGAGTGAGTATTGTTTTCCGGCGCACTGTCATTTTTAACAATATCACTTCAGATCACATAAAAAAATAATACTTAAATATGATCAGATCCGGACATTCAGCGTTATAAAGAAACGCCTTACCCACTAGGCTACCACGCTGAATAAAGTGAACTCTGATTCAACATTTTCAAGGGCACGTTGCTGAAGTTTGAGCTCAGAAATATAACGTATGTTCCAATTTATTGTCATCAGCTTAAATAAAACATTTACGAATATAAAAGTTGATGGATTCGAACTTTTTACCCGGCTGATATTTAAATCCGGGCGAAAAAGGTTTCATAAATGCATTATTCTTCCAGTAATCTTTACCGCAATCTTATTATCAAGAATGAAAAATAACCCGGAACACGCTAGAACAATTAGCCGAATACATAACGCATAGCCGGGGGACAAACACCGTGTTTGTCACATCTTACGAAATCCGGAACAAAACCGATTATTTCGGTCTGAACTTTCCCTGGCTACTCAAAGGAAAGTCGATTCCTCTGAATCCGCGTTTCTTTGAGACATTGTAAGATGAAATGAACAGCACAGCTCGGGGGAATAGTGATCAGCGTTAGTCACCATATAGTTCGTCTATTGTGATTGACCGAAGTGGCAGTGTGTAGGCGGGAGGGACAATACTGTCACGCGAACGTCTAAACTCGACAATATTTCTCGACACCGTTAACCTTCACCTTCTCCTTCGCCACGATGTAACAACGTTGTATTAGCGCCAGTCACTACTCAGAGCTACGGTGCTTTCTGTGTCATAGTGTAAAGCCCATTTCTGGGGTCCCCTGTCGTGATATTGCTGGAATATTGCTAAAAGCGGCGTAAAACCAAACACACTCACTCACCATGAATCATAGTACTGTACCAAAATATGTCATATTTTCTTCCATATTTTTACAAATTATTTTGTTCTATAATATTTTGTGGATATTACTCATGTCATTTGACAGTCAAGTTTAGACACAGCGCTATCTTGAATTTTTCAGATGTAATCACGTGACAGATATTGGAATCGGATACGTGTCAACGATGACGTCCTTGCAGAAGTTGTACCTCCGATGGTGTACGCAAGTGAGAGACTTTGGACTGCAGCATCTGTACTCCATGCGAAATCTCAGGGTGTTGTCACTAGCAGGTGCGTGTCAATGTCCAGTAGAAACATCCATCAGGTGATAATTAAACTGACAAGCAAAAGAAAGTATACACTTGAACACTGGCTACCAAAAGGTTACTAGACTGAAAACAGTCGACGAAACACAGCCAAGTTCAGGTCTAAACGCATATTAATAATATCATACCGAATATTTTACCATCGATTTACCATTTCTAGTTTCATTTTAGCAACCATTTAATATTCGAGTGTGTACTTTCTGTTTTTATGCAGTTTAGTTCATCAAACGGTTCTTGCTGGCTGAGATTTGTTTAAAGATTCCGTGCTCATAGTATGCATACGACTTAAAGTACCTTGAGTTTTTCCGTTTTGTGTAAAAGAACGGAGTGGCAGCTTAATGTTAAACCAGTGAGTAAGTGAGTTGGTTTAACGGTGCTTTGGTCGGTATTCCAGTTATATAATAGAGTTTCAGCTTTATGAGAGACAAAAGCTCAAAGTGATGCAAATCTCAGATGTTTTCGACTTTTGTGAAAACCACGATCACTGATGTGCTGACAAACCAAGAAACATACTCGGAGCAAATTCATAATCATAGGGTCCTGACGCAGAAAAGGGGTGTAACTCTGTACAGCAACACGCACCGCCCTAAACCGTTGCCTCCCTTGTTGTGGCGCAAACCGTTTACCCAGGAACACGAGTATGGTGTTGACAGACCAATGATAGTTATCAATGCCAAGCTTGTATTCGAATCAACAACCTTCGGATCCCGACAGCTAAAGGGCCACAACTCTTTAAAATAATTCGCTAAAGACACCCAGTATATCATGGTCTTCGATAATAAATAAGACCAGGGACCAGGGTCCCGATCCACAAAACATTCGTAACCCTATGATAAACTATAGAGTTACGACAGGTCGTAACGTTACGAACGCATTGTTGATTGGGGCCCAGGATGCCGTTGTACAAAGCAATCTTAGCCTTAAGGTGATCGTAACTCCCATACCTTAACAGAGACACGCGACAGTCCTAGCGCTAAGGTTGTTTGTGCAGAGGCACCCAGCCTTACATTTCCAAATGAACTGCACCGAACGATCAAAGACTTCAAGAACAGTTCCAACAACTCAATCAAAGCAATAATGCACTTCAACCAGACCCAATACACACGGCATTACAAGATCACCACAAATCTGTGGAGTCATCTTATCTTAATGAAAACTGCCACATTTGGCTTCTCCAGAATATGTCATTACCGCATCATTACGAGTTCCTTGCATTCGCTGCGTTGGCCCAGAACCAGTTTCACATGCGCCAGATCCGATCAAAACCATTCAGCACCTGCGAAGCGTCCCGTTGCGTCACGAACGCCGATTATCGTCAATTATTCCGGCCTGCGATCGCTGTATTCGTCCGGTGATCAACTACAACTATCGTTTTCAGAAGCATTTGTTGCCATACGGACCAATAACGCCCATGTTTTCATGAACGATTAAGCAATTTGTGCAGAAATAGAGAATCATTACGCCACGCCTGGCACTGTAGGTCTCTTGTAATGACGCTCCGGTTCCAGACCGCTGCCGTGTAATGAATTAGGGCACCGCGGACTCTGTATACACCATTCATCACTCCATAGCAACAGTAAGGGGTGCATGGGACACGTGTTACGTTTTATGTGACGTATTACGGTGTTTTATATTCCATTAGGGCTCCGGTGAATAATAGTAATGCATTTCTGTATTGACGGGTGAATATGCTAGAGGGCATTTTTATACTTCCAGCAAAGGCAAATTCGTGGATTTGTTATAAGTATGGCGACGGTAGGGTACACTAAATCGAAATAATTGCATTTAAAAGGCTCCAACTGCCCCAGCGTTGAGGAAGAGAAGTATAGTATTCGCACTTCCGTTCACATACACACGCCCATGTTCTATATGACACCATCCTTCTAAATTGTTCTTTTATTAATCATTTATTTATTATTAAAAATCAATATTGAGACAATGGCAGTAGCACATCTAGTCAACATAACGGTGGTTGTGTTAGGCTATAAATAACCATGAGAACACGCGCATTTTAACCTACTCAGTACATTTGCTATTATTATTTTATCAGCCTGTTGGACACATTTATGTATGCAAATATCTCTAATGTAAAATTGTCATGTTAGATACATACCATGCAACAAAATCGTGTACCACCTTTAAACCTAAATTCTGGCACTGTTAGGAGTGTGAATTGAGTTCCGCCAGTTAAACTCGCCTTTGCTGGCATTGCTCGAATGCTTTAACATCTAAGCTACCGTATTTCCTCGAGTACACGCCCACGTGTATATTTCTTTGAGAAACTCATCGGCATTTATAATTATAATTCCAGCTCAATCTTGCTATATTTAAACCATAATTAATACATGGCAGCGGTTTACACAGCGGCATTCTCTTCCCACAGAGGTTACTTGTCACATCTTCCTACGAACCTCTGTTATAATACGGCCATATTAATCTCGTAAAATCCCCTAGCGGCAAAAAATCGCAACACGAATTACTTCCCTTCTTTCTATCCAATCAGAACACATGTTACATCGATGCAAGTAAATATGGGGCCACAAATATCCATCTTCTCTGCCGGGGACTTAATGTGTTAATGTTACACACAAGACATTTAATGGCAAGCTTGTCCGTTGTCAACGAGGGCGATGGAGAAGCCATTGATCCGCCATTACATGACTGAGTTCTGTCTAGAAGACACGTTTGCGTATCGCGCAGGGGAAGAGGTTCCAGTCTTCCCGAAGCATACGGAAATTACCGACGCCTTGCGAATGATCACTTTTGAAACAACGTCGCTGATTGCACAACTAAATCTGATTGCAACCAATCACGAATCCTGAACACTCGCACCATGAAAGGGCCATATTAGAACAGAGGTTCGTAGGAAGATATGACTTGAGTAACTTCTGTGGGAAGAGAATGCCGCTGTGTAAACCGCTGCCTTGTATTAGTTATGGTTTAAATATAGCAAGATTGAGCTGGATTACAAAACGTCGGTTCAACAAACTCGCAAAGTGTTCTTTGAAATACGGCTACAAAACGGCGGCTCTGCAACACTGCAAACAAAACAAAATTTCTGACGTACATTTTTGTCCAACATCAACGACATAAAGGTCTTAGATGCTCGGTGAGTTTAAAGCGAGATTGATTAAAGATCCACGACTGAATTGATTTTAGCTTTGTCAGCCTTGATACATACAAGGATTCTTCAAAAGGAGTATCCTCCCTGTGTTAGTGTGTGAAGCCTGACAGCTTCTGGAAGCTACGTGTGAAGCAGAGTATCTAGCTGTTCTAACTAGGTATATAGGCCATCAAATACGCTAAGCGGCCTACTGTTACGTTGTCGCGACTGACGGGTTCTGTCTGTGTAATGCGACATTTGATAGACGCCACTTCCTCCTCTACTCTCAGGTGGGCCGGAGCGGTCGTATTAGCTTCGGCTTGGATTAGATTTGACTGGGATCCCAAACAAAAGTGGCTGATGAACATGTAATAGAAAAAGAAAAGTAAAACAATGATAGGAAAAGAAAACAAATAACTATTCTGTTTGTATTTTTCTTGTTTCATGTCACAGTTTCAATATTCTTGTTATATCAAAATGTTGTGTGCGGACAAGACAAACAGACAATCTTGCGGTTGATATCGCAGTACAGTCGGAAACCCGGTTTAGTCGCCTCTCAAGGAGTGTTTTGGAACTGTTCAGAGTCCGCTAATCTGAGCAAGGACCATGGTCAATGATAAAACGAGTCTGGATCAGATGAACCATTGAATGATCGACTCGATGACAACTAGATCTCACATTGTAAGGTGCTGGTGGAAAGGGGTTTAACTTCCACGTTCACGTTTCCCACGCCTGCATGTGTTTGTGAGGAATATTCTTATTGTCCGGACTTATGTCCATTCCATAGTGCAAGGTCACTGGGATTGGTTGATTGGTTTGTTGTTTAACGCTGCACTCAGCAATATTACAGCTCTATGGCGGCGGTCTGTAAATAATCTAGTCAGGACCAGACAATCCAGAGATCAACAGCAAGAGCATCGATCTGCGCAATTGTGAAACGATGACATGTGTCAACCAAGTCCCCGAGCCTGATCACCCGATCCCGTTAGTCACCTCTTACAAGCATGGGTTGCTGAAGACCAATTCTAACCCGGATCTTCACGAGTATCACATACGCATACTGACTCCACAACATACTGACTGCGAGCTGACAAATCCATCTGTATCTCCTGAATGACGGGCGCCAGGCTAAGTAACAACAAGTACCATATTTTGACGTCAAAGGGAATCGAACCACCTGCATGCTTCTCTCAGGGCAGACGCTCCGCCGACTAGACCACCTTAAGCTGATATTATAAAACCCCAATGTAACGGACATATTTCAGCATGAGATAATGTAAGAGTATTCAGCCTTGGATTTCCACGCAGTAATTTGATCTAGAAATCACTTCACTCTGCCTAAGTCTTATTAATATTTCAAGATTTTGAGAAAATGTCCCAGTTTACGTTTAATGTCAATACCTGTGTTCCCGATACGCACTACAGCTTCCCTCGCAATGCGTAAATATACTATACATTTTACATGGGGACAGAAAGGGAAGTTAGGTGTGGAAGTTAGGTGTTCACATCCTAGCTGGAACAGGGAGTGAATTATTTATGTGAGTGAAAGGTCGTCCAAATATGTCATGCCCTATATTTGTATTCTAAAGGTTAGAACATGATGCATAAAAGATAACTCCCGAGTTACTACTCTTCCGCAGCTACCCATGCATACAGATCACTTTGACGGTTCGATCCAAGGCCGCGTCATAATAAAAGACGTTAAAATATGGTACTTGTTGGTCCCTGCCTGGCGCTCGGCATTAATGGGTACATCAAGGACTGGTCGGCTCGGAGTCAGTATAATGTGTCTGAGTGGGGTATTCATGCTTCACTGCGGCATGGTATCTCAGTGGACTAGCACTATAAAACCAGCTTCAGTCTGGACTAGTACAAGCAGCCACACATACACATACACACGCATGCACGTCGTCATATGAGCGAAATATTCTCAAGCACGACGTTAAACCCAAGTCTACACTAGAACTAGGTATTTTTGTACACGTATTTGTTTAATATGTTTTGGTCACTTTTCTAAGGTTATGGATGTTAGTTGATCCGTTGCATGATTAAACTTGATCCCCAGGAGCTTACACTGTTCGTGTCAGGCTCGATGAATCCGTGGACTGCACATCCAAATTGCCCATTATATCAACCACTGGTTTTGTCTTGTCATTACTCGAATATTGAGTCCATTGTGTTTTAACTAAAATGTTGCTTCGTTGGGTGTGAAATACAGAAAACAAAACAATAAATCTTTAGTTAATTCCTTTTCTCACTCTTATGTTTCAGGTTGTTCTCAGATTTCCACTAACGGCCTGTACGGCTTGACGAGACTCCACAATCTCCAGGAACTGGAGCTTACCAACTGCACCAGTGCCACCAAGACAGTCTGTGATTTCCTCAGGGACAATATGTTCCGGTGTGCAGTGCTCGACTGATGGGACAGGCGGCTACGGCGTGAAGAATCTCTATTCCAGGACTCCGATTTGATTGGTACTGTGGTGATGGGTGTGTATATTCTGTACAATGTACTATACTCAACAATACCGGTCGTGACGTCCACAATGTTCACCAGAAAGGTTGATGTTGTTGTTGAGTGTTAGTGATGCTGGTGATATCGTGACCCTTTCATCCAAGACTATGGATGTCCGTTTTGGATATAATGATTTACGTGTGTGCGAGCAATCTGATTCTTTTGGATTTTGGATGTGTTTTAATGGTGTAGACGTCCGATGGAACATTGCAGACATTGTGTGTTGCCCTGCGGATTACATGCGACCTCCTATATCACGATCACCTTTATCATGACCTCCTTTATCATGGCCTCCTTTACCATGACCTCCTTCATCATGACCTCCCTTACAATGACCTACTTCATCATGACCTCTCTTACCAAGACTTACTTCATCATGACCTCCCTTACCATGACCTACTTCAGCATTTTCTCCTTTACCATCACCTCCTTCATCATTGCCTCCATTATCATGACCTCCTGTATCATTGCCTCCATTATCGTGACCTCTTTCATCATTGCCTCCGTTATCGTGACCTCCTTTATCATTGCCTCCGTTTTCGTGACCTCCTTCATCATTGCCTCCGTTATCGTGACCTCCTTCATCATTGCCTCCGTTATCATGACCTCCTTTATCATTGCCTCCGTTATCGTGACCTCCTTTATCATTGCCTCCGTTATCGTGACCTCCTTCATCATTGCCTCCACCATTGCATCAGTCGCCAGGACTTCATCATAACCTGCTTGGCATTCAGCACCCTGTAATCATCGCTAAGCATCATACCGTGTGACTGGACACCAGTCTTGCGCACAAAGCATGAGGATTGGATTTCACGAATTGTGTGAATTGGACCTCAGAAACCTCTAGGAATGTCTGTTTCTGTACTTGATATGAATAATAGCACAGGCTGTTCCTCTAAATCCCGTTTTCTTTCGGTAAGTAGTTTCAGCCGAGCTGCATAGCTATCAGAGGCATTGCATCGACGTACAGCATTCCCATAGGAATACACTCTTGTGGAGCTCATCACCTCAGCGACTCGTCCCTCAAGGGAAGACAACTCTCATTGTACTCATCGGGATCGTACGTGTATCGTATTGAACGACCGGGTGGTTTTGCTATTGTGATTCTGTTTGTATACATCGTCAGTACTTCACGGGTTTGCATACACTACTATCCTCAAACACCTGCGACTACATACGACTGATTTGTACTATAGTAGTGGCGTGTCTATATTCAGCTAATTAAATTAGGTCATTTTCATGACCCGGAAAATGAGTCAAATGAGCTTTACTTTGTAAGAACCTTTAAAGGAACAATTCTTAAAAACATTTTTTAATTAATCGTTATGGGTTCTTTTTAAAAAAACCCATTTCGTCTGCAGTCTCCATCAATGAAACCAGACTGGGCTTAGTTTGCTCTAGATTTCCCAAGTTTTAAGAACTTATGAATTCCGCAATCATGGTGCAGGATCCTATAAACGTCGTACGAAACCCACAACTGCCCAATATTGAAGCAATGTGTAGATCAGATCGCCGCAAAGTTGCCTGAAAAATATTGCTGATTTAACAACGTTTTCTTGACACTCATTCGACAGCCCTCTTTATTACTTAACCTGGTACCCAGCTATCTATGCGCTTCTCCAACTTGCGCCAAGCGTATATTGAGAGAGGGGTCCCAACAAAGCTGAACGACGCTATGTCGTCGATGGTTAAGGAGAAACGTAATGTCCAGAAAACCCGTTCAGAACTGACGATGGTGTGTATAAGGTTCCAAGCAGTTTGCCTTAAGGTGTATTATGTTGGCTGTGATATCAACCCTTTGTTTAATATTACGTTGGCACGTATATGTAGGTATTTATGTCTACCTCAGTTTCACGTCTACTTGTTCTAGATGTTCCTTTGTATGTATCAGAATGCTCAGTTGTCGCTATGGACAATACTGGGAAACAGCCCTTTCAACTGATGTTATCTGACCTATTGCACTCGGATATAATTTGTAAAATAACACCTTTTAGTGGGGTGTTATTACTCTCAGTCAGATATAAAAATATGTACTACTTTAAACCTAATCCCTTAAATGGGATGGCCACGAGTTATGTCATTATACAACACTCAGAACATTATTCAGTAGAGAACCTTAACGAGTATATGATATTTATGAAGCTCAACCGTAATGAAGGCATATTATGGAGAAAGTTGTATAGTCAGTGAGGTGAGATATACTGGCGTCATGGCAACTGTAATCCGATCTCTCAGCCGCGCCGGCATTTAAAACTAGTTAGAAAGTAGGATTGCATTTATAAAATCAATGTATTAATTTGACAGAGACGTATACCTTGTTGTCAGTGGCACACGTCTCTGTTAATGTCAAGAAAACCTTTTTTAGGAATCCATGCCAACGATAACTGAGAAAGTACTGACTGAGTTTGGTTTTACGCCGCTTTCAGCAATATTCCAGCAACATCACAGCGGGGGACACCAGAAATGGGCTTCACACATTGTGCCCATGTGGGGATTCGAACCCGGGTCTTCGGCGTGACGAGCCAACGCTTTAACCACTAGGCTACCCCACCGCCCCAACTGAGAAAGTAAAGAGTAATGGTTTTAGAATGAACGCATGTTTGACCATGAGCAACATTATGTAGTTATACTGTTATACAACCGATAACAACACTCGTTTGTCTAACATATACATGTCATTGGTTAAGGGCGCCACACTTTCCTATGCACATTTACGTTCCTTAGTGGTGCTAGGATCCGGTGTCCGTCTGTAGGAATTCCCCATGATTACTGTTGACCCTTCAGGACTACAAAGTTTTTTTTTTATCAAAGTGGTAAAGGGGCGGTGGGGTAGCTTTGTGGTTAAAGCGTTCGCTCGTCACGCCGAAGACCCGGGTTCGATTCCTCACATGGTTACACTGTGCGAAGCCCATTTCTGGTGTCCCCCGCCGCGATATTGCTGGAATATTGCTAAAAGCGGCGTAAAAGCAAACTCATTCCAACTGGTAAACGTCTAACGCGTGTTGTGGTCGGGACAGACGCCGACGAGGACCTGGACTCCAAGCTGACAGCGATGATAAGATAAACTACTGTTCAAAGCAGCGTTAAACCCAACTCTCTCACTCGTGACCCCATAGCCGTATTTCAGCCCTTTCCTTCCCCGCAATACGTCGTAAAGCAATACTTCCTGTATTTACGTTTTCCTCCTCGACAGAAAATCGAATGAAGCAATTCCCAATGGAAATAGTACTCTGCAGATGCACTCTATATGTTCTAATTAGAATATACTCAAGCTTTTGATTCCCGTTTTGTTGTATTATTGTGTAAAGTAGCTCCCCCTTTAGATCACGCCGGAATATTATGACAAAACATCTAAACCAAAGTCAAGGACTAAACACAAAGGCAGTTTTAATGGTATTGAAAATTATAATTGTTATTATCGTTTCTTAGCATAAAAAGCATTTTCGTGGATTGTTGCGTGGTCGTTTGGATTGGCATGCAGCTGTGTTCAGAGGGGGTAGTAGAGTTGAACGACGTGCATCTGTGGTAACGAGAGCTCATCCATACTGACTGGCGTGCAACTGTGTTAACGAGAGCTCATCGATATTGACTGACGTGCAACTATGTTAAGACCGACGTGCAACTGTGGTAACGAGAGCTCAGCCATGTTGACTGACGTGCAACTGTGTTAACAAGAGCTCATCCATATTGACTGGCGTGCAACTGTGGTAACGAGAGCTCATCCATATTGACTGGCGTGCATCTGTGGTAACAAGAGCTCATCCATATTGACTGGCGTGCAACTGTGGTAACGAGAGCTCAGCCATGTTGACTGACGTGCAACTGTTTTAACAAGAGCTCATCCATATTGACTGGCGTGCAACTGTGGTAACGAGAGCTCATCCATATTGACTGACGTGCATCTGTGGTAACAAGAGCTCATCCATATTGACTGGCGTGCATCTGTGGTAACGAGAGCTCATCCATATTGACTGACGTGCAACTGTGGTAACGAGAGCTCAGCCATGTTGACTGGCGTGCAACTATGTTAAGACCGACGTGCAACTGTGGTAACGAGAGCTCATCCATATTGACTGACGTGCATCTGTGTTAACAAGAGCTCATCCATACTTACTGGCGTGCAACTGTGGTAACGAGAGCTCATCCATATTGACTGGCGTGCAACTATGTTAAGACCGACGTGCAACTGTGGTAACGAGAGCTCATCCATGTTGACTGACGTGCATCTGTGTTAACAAGAGCTCATCCATATTGACTGGCGTGCATCTGTGGTAACGAGAGCTCATCCATATTGACTGGCGTGCATCTGTGGTAACGAGAGCTCATCCATATTGACTGACGTGCAACTGTGTTAACAAGAGCTCATCCATATTGACTGACGTGCATCTGTGTTAACGAGAGCTCATCCATATTGACTGACGTGCAACTGTGGTAACGAGAGCTCAGCCATGTTGACTGGCGTGCAACTATGTTAAGACCGACGTGCAACTGTGGTAACGAGAGCTCATCCATATTGACTGACGTGCATCTGTGTTAACAAGAGCTCATCCATATTGACTGACGTGCAACTGTGGTAACGAGAGCTCAGCCATATTGACTGACGTGCAACTATGTTAAGACTGACGTGCAACTGTGGTAACGAGAGCTCATCCATATTGACTGACGTGCATCTGTGTTAACAAGAGCTCATCCATATTGACTGGCGTGCAACTGTGGTAACGAGAGCTCATCCATATTGACTGGCGTGCATCTGTGGTAACGAGAGCTCAGCCATATTGACTGACGTGCAACTGTGTTAACAAGAGCTCATCCATATTGACTGACGTGCAACTGTGTTAACACGAGCTCATCCATATTGACTGGCGTGCAACTGTGGTAACGAGAGCTCAGCCATGTTGACTGACGTGCAACTGTGTTAACACGAGCTCATCCATATTGACTGGCGTGCATCTGTGTTAACGAGAGCTCAGCCATATTGACTGACGTGCAACTGTGGTAACGAGAGCTCATCCATATTGACTGACGTGCATCTGTGGTAACGAGAGCTCATCCATATTGACTGGCGTGCAACTGTGGTAACGAGAGCTCATCCATATTGACTGGCGTGCAACTGTGGTAACGAGAGCTCAGCCATGTTGACTGACGTGCAACTGTGTTAACAAGAGCTCATCCATATTGACTGGCGTGCAACTGTGGTAACACGAGCTCATCCATATTGACTGACGTGCATCTGTGGTAACGAGAGCTCATCCATATTGACTGGCGTG